GGACCCAACAATAAACCTTCCTGTTAAGGCAATAATATGAAATGTTTATTCCAAAGCAAAACAGCCACCTGATTAAACAGCTTAGAATAAAATTAGTTGAGTACAAAAAAAAAAAAAAAAAAAAAAAAAAAAAAAAAAAAAACAAAAAACACAAAAACAATACAATTAAAAAGAAAAATAAACAAAACAAAAAGTGTGATCGTTCCTCGTACAAATTAAAATAAAAGTTAACTGTATTAAAATGAAAAAAAAAATCCATTCTCCCCCCAAACAAATTTTCCTCCAAACCCTTTCAAAATTTGTTGGGGAAAAAAAAAAAAAAAATAATAATTTGAACACTCATACACCACTAACCTAAATAATACGTAAATAAATATTAAAAATCTAAATTTCGTGGAGAATTTTTTTTTTATTATTATAGGTTTATAATATACAACAGTTCAGAATTGGAAAATTTACAAATATGTAAAAGTTGTTGAGGAAAAAAATTAAAAAAAAAAAAAAAATTGCGACGCAACACTCATTCTCCTTGAAACATCACCGCCCATCCCACACAGGTTCACACATATTGCTTTGACAAAAAAAGGTTAAAACCTTTATTAATATCTTTAGTGCCACAATTTGTTAAATAACCTAAAAATTAGAACTGTTTGCAGACACTAAAAAAAAAAAACAAAAAAAAAACAAAATATGAATTTTTTTTTTTTAATCAATTTTTCCATAACCTCAGTTGTATAAAGTTTCACCATTATGTACAAAGTCCCCTTAAATTACATATAAATAAGTATGTACAGACAGGAAAAAAGTTCATCAACTCTGCAATGGGTCTGGAACAAGCTACAAAATCTGGGGCTAACCCCCTGCTCTATCGGTGTCTTGGCTGGTCAAAGTGTTAAATGGTCAGTCCAACCAAAGTCGATGTTCCACATGTGAAAAAAAAAAAAAAAAAAAAAAAAAACTTTAAAAATACCAGATCTGCACACCTGCTGTGGCCATTATCAGGGGCTTCAGCCACTCCTTCTGGATTTTTTTTTTTTTTTTTTTTTTATTATGGAAAATGCTAAATAAAACCCTACAAAATGCCAAGATCTAAAACAAACCCCACCCCCCAAAAAAAAAAAAAAAAAAAAAAAAAAAAAAAAGTAAAAGTAAAAAAAAACAAAAGTAAAAAAAAAAAAAAAAAAAAAAAAAAAAAACACCAGACGATGAAGAATTCCACCTGAAACATCATATTCATACGGACAAATCCTTTAAATAAATCCCATGAATGAATTTGTGAATGGACACTGAAATTCCAACAATTATTAAAAAACAAAAATGAAAATTCTTAGCAAATTTTACAGTAGGTAGAAGGGGGAAAAAAAAAAAAAAGAAAAGAAAAAAAAAAAAAAAAAAAAAAAAAAACACACAGCCAATTTACAAATCTGGTTCTAAATGAAAGTTTCAAGTTTAAAGGTTACAAAAAATACTAGGAAAAATATTTTAAAGAATCAGTTGGCTGAAGTCTATAATTTTCCAGCAAACAGGAACAAGGAAGTCATCTCAACACTGGAAAACCTGAGAAATGTATACATTGAGAACAAAAGCCTCAACTAGGATAAGATGACTATATTTCAGCACTGAATTGATTTTATTTTTTTTTTTTTTTTAAATTGTCAGCATCGGTTGAGATAGGAGGCTAAATTTAATTTAAAAAAAAAAAATGTTCCATCATTCTATATACAGTATTTTTTATAAAATTATTGGCAAGACAGTTATTGGCCAGCGTTTTCTACTACGTCAAGTCAAGGGGAATTTTTTTTTTTTTTTTTATAAAACACACTCGACCCTTTAAAATAAATTGACATCGGATGTATAAGTTTTTTTTTTTTTTTTTAATAAACTGAAATCTTACACATCAGATGTCAATTTATTTTAAAGGGTCGAGTGTGTTATAAAAATTAAAAAAAAAAAAAAAAAAAAAAAAAAAAAAAATGTTCCATTATTTTAAATACAGTATTTTATAAAATTATTGGCAAGATAGTTATTGGCCAGCGTTTTCTACGGTGTCAAGTCAAGGGGAAATTTATTTATTTTTTTTTAATTTATAAAACACACTTGACCCTTTAAAATAAATGGACATCTGATGTATAAGTTTTTTTTTTTTCTTACTAAACTGAAATCTTACACATCATATGTCAATTTATTTTAAAGGGTCGAGTGTGGTTTTTTTTTTTTTTTTTTTATATATAAACACACTTGACCCTTTAAAATAAATTGACATATGATGTGTAAGATTTCAGTTTAGTAAGAAAAAAAAAAAATTCCCCTTGACTTGACACAGTAGAAAACGCTGGCCAATAACTGTCTTGCCAATAATTTTATAGAATACTGTATATAGAATGATGGAACATTTTTTTTTCTTTTTTTTTTTAGAACACACTCGACCCTTTAAAATAAATTGACATCTGAAGTGGAAGATTTCAGTTTAGTAATAAAAAATAAAAAAAAAAAATAAAAATCTTACACATCAGATGTAAATTTTAAAAGGGTCGAGTGTGTTAAAAAAAAAGCCAGTATAAAAAAAAAAAAAATCCAGATAATCTTCATTTTGTCTCCATGAAATTATAGGAGGCAGGGTAATATTTTCTGACATGCAGTTTAAGAGAAAATAATAGGTAGGCATTCAAAATTCCTGCAAATACTATTCTACAAATTTTGGATCATAACATCGCATTAAAAAAAACAGGATTATTGGAGGGGGAACATGGCGGGTTTACAAGAGTGCAAAGGAGATTTAAAAAAAAAAAAAAAAAAAAAATTTTTTTTCTTGGGAGTTCCAACACACAAGTTCTGGGCAGTGAAAAATGAAGATCTGAAAAATAGCACCGTCCCACGGGTTCAAGTCTCCAGAGCAAATAATCTGCTCACATTGTCCAAGTAAAATAAAAAAGGGAACAGAAACTGGCTACCACACCAGTCCGGAGAACCCCGGTCCAAATCCACATGGAACGCTGTCCTGGCCCACCGCCATCTTTTATTTTCGGTGTTTGTCCATCTTGTCCAATGATTTGTTGCTCTCCCCCGGGCTCTGCTCTCCAGAGCTCATGTACATTTTGTCTGCGATCTTTAACGCTTCGTTCAGATAGTTTTGTACCGACGTCATGGCGGCGCAAATAGCGGCGCTCCCAAACCCGTGCGTTATGAGGCTGAAGTGCGACAAGCAGCTTTGGATCCCCGGTTCCAGAATGGGGCTTGGTCTCGCGTTTCCGAGGGGTGTTCTGTCCTGGGTGAGGAGGTCTGTGAATTCTTTGCAGATCTGCCTGTCATACAAAAGAAAAAAAATTTATTTTAACAAGGTTGTAAAAATGAAAAAAGGTCAGTGTAAAAGTTTAAAAAAAAAGTAGCCACCATTTAGGGAAAAAAAAAAAAAAAAAAAAAAAAAAAAAAAAAAAAGGCTAAAAACCTACCCCCCCCCCAAAAAAAAAAAAAAATTAAAAAAAAATTAAATAAAGATAACAAATCTCAAATAAAATGAACAAAAAAAAAAAAATAAAACAAAATAAAATGAACAAAAAAAAAATTAATTTTTTTTTAATAAAACAAATATCAAATAAAAAAATAACATTAAGTAACAAAAGAAATTAAAAAACAAAAAATAAAATAGAAGATTACAAAAAATTAAAAAAATAAAATAACAAAATATAAAATTGAAAAAAAAAAAAAAATGAACAAAAAAAAAAAGTTTCTGAATGGTGATGAAATTAACATTAAGTTGCAACTTACCACAGCTGGCACTGTTGGCAAAGCTTCTCCAGGGTGCCGCTGTTATCTTTTGTATAACATCAACATTTTTTTTTTGCTCAGCATGCCAGGAGAGCTTACAGACTGCTTTCTTGCTCAACTACATCAGGGGTACCCAGTCCCAGTCTTAGCATTGGGGACACAGCAGCAATCAGCCAATTCCAAGCTTAAAATCCCAAAATGTAACCACACAATGAAAAGTCAGCCGGCCCGCCCATCAATCGCATTAATAAATTTAATTAAAATGAAGATTCCAGAGCTTGATATTGCTTAAGCGCTACAACAAAGTCAGGTAGCGAGATGATGGGAACGTTTTTCTAACAAAGAAAATATTAGTCTACCATATATTGTCAGAGGTTTTAAATTTTATTTTAATTAAAAAAAAAAAAAAAAAAAAAATGATGTTCCCATAGTATTGTCTTTGTGTAAATCACTTGGAAGACCACCTCTACATTTTAAGGGCCTGTTTCAGCCACCACATTGTTAAAACAAAGAATACAGGATTCAAGGAAGGGGTTCAAAGGCTGGCAACTAAAGGGAAGGAGAATTTCACAATTACAAGATTTTAAAATGGTCCATACCTAATATGGGGGGGAAAAAAATAAAATAAATAATAAAACAAAAAAGTATAAAAGATCTGCCAAAACATGTTTGAGTTCAAAAAGACCGTGGCTCCGCATAGAAAAATTAGGATGTCCCCTTCATTTTTGATGGAGGTTCCTTACAGTAAAAATTATTAAATTTTGAAAAGCAAAAAATTAAAAAAAGTAATAATTTTTGAAAACCAAAAAAATATTTAATTCATGGAGGAGGGGCCTGAAAAGAATTTATTTTCCCACCTGTGTGGTAAAATTGGCAACAGTTGGCCTTGGGGAGGGGGTGAGGGGGGAGTTGGTTGCCCCCAGAAGCTGTGAGGTGGCTCAGTGCGGGCATCTGTCTTTTTACAATTTCATCAATTATGACTTTCTATAAAATTACAAGAAAGATTCCATCAAGTTGTTCATTGGGGTGCTGGAGGGCGAGTTCCGCTTGGACACAAAAATGTATCTGGTGGAGTACGCGGGCAACATCCTCTTACATTTGTTTTTACAACTCTTTCTTCTGTTTAAATAAAGCACATCATAAAAAAAAAAATTAAATAAAAAAAAAAAAAAAAAAGAAAAAGGGACAGATTACTACTATGGACATGACCCCCTTAGTCTCCCCGGACCCCGCATTCACTCCGGACCCCGCATTCACTGTATCCGCTCTCCCCGGACCCCGCATTCACTGTATCCGGTCTCCCCGGACCCCGCATTCACTGTATCCGGTCTCCCCGGACCCCGCATTCACTGTATCCGGTCTCCCCGGACCCCGCATTCACTATATCCGGTCTCCCCGGACCCTGCATTCACTATATCCGGTCTCCCCGGACCCTGCATTCACTATATCTGGTCTCCCCGGACCCTGCATTCACTATATCTGGTCTCCCCGGACCCACTATATCAGGTCTTCCACAGTACATGGAAATTATTTTAGTAAATATTAACTGCTAAATCCCTTTTCTCATCAGCAGTATGTAGCAGCCTTGTGACTATCAGTGTCCAGCAGAGCACTGATTAAAGCTTGTAGGAGGAGTTTTCTAGGAGGATGCAGAACCCTTGACCCTCTGGGCAGTGCTGATTACATGCACTCTCCCAAGAAAAAAAAACAAAAAAAAAAACTCAGCAATACAATACACCAAACTGAGCATGTGCAGTGACTCCACATGATATATGTCTTATCAGGAGATAAGAGGGGGACACTGGAAGAAGGGGAGGATCAGAGAAGTCAGGATCAAAACAGCCTTTTTGCACAATGCACAGGATTAACCTCTTAGGTTCTACAGTGAGTATAACAAGCATGCTTTGCTGCATCTACAGACTGATTGAATTGTTGTGGGTTTAGTAACACTTTAATGTTCTCAGTCAGTTCACACAGGCCAGGTCGCAGGACGACACCCGATTCAAGCGACTTTTGGGCAGGAGGAATTTAAATCAGCTTTGCTGAGCAGCGTAAACCCATCAAGAACAAACATGACCGGTCTACCAAGTGCTGCTAGGACCACTCCAGCCCCCGACCTGAGAAATAGGTAAATCCCGCTAAAGGTAACTTTGGGGGAAAAAAAAAAAAAAAAAAAAAGCAAGCAGATGAAGCTTAAAGAAAGAAAGGAAAGAAAGGAAAAAAAGAAAGGAAAGAAAGAAAAAAAAAAAAAAAAGAAAGGAAAAAAGAAAGGAAAAAAAAGAAAGGAAAAAAAAAAAAAAAAAAAGAAAGAAAAAAAAAGAAAAAGGGAAAGAAAGGGAAAGAAAGGGAAAGAAAGGGAAAGAAAGGGAAAGAAAGGGAAAAAAGGAAAGAAGGGAAAGAAAGGGCGAAAGAAAAAGAAAAGAAAGGAAAAGAAAGGAAAAGAAAGGAAAAGAAAGGAAAAGGAAAAGAAAAGAAAGAAAGGAAAAAAGAAAGAAAGAAAGAAAGGAAAAGAAAGGAAAAAGGAAAGAAAAAAGGAAAAAGAAAAGAAAAAGAAAGGAAAAAGAAAGGAAAAGAAAGGAAAAGAAAGGAAAAGAAAGGAAAAGAAAAAAAAAGGAAAAGAAAGAAAAGAAAAAAAAAAAGAAAAAAAAGAAAAAAAGAAAGAAAAAGAAAAAGAAAAAAGAAAGAAAAAAAAAAAAAGAAAAAGAAAAGAAAGAAAAAAAAGAAAGAAAAAGAAAAAAAAAGAAAAAGAAAAAGAAAAAGAAAAAGAAAAAGAAAGAAAGAAAGCACACACACACACACCATAACCAACTTATTAGTTTCCCATAGATTCCGGTATGGACGGTGGAATTTCCAGCTTCGTAGTCCCCCCCCATTGTCCCTAGCTGAGATGACTAGCTACTTACTCAGCATTCAGCTATTTAAACACCACCTGAAAATTATTATTCAAGCGCCACATCAAACCACCGGCGGCAACATCATAAACTCCTCACGCAATCCCCCTATACACAACATTCTTATCTCTGGAAACCTCTTAAGTCTGGGCGACTATACCAGTACCGGACACAACGCGTTTTATGACGAGAACGTCTCTATTTGTACGCATTTTCCTAGATTGCCACAAAAATTTGAGAAATTGGCACTGGAGAGAGAAAGGAAGAATTAAAAAGTCCAAAATTATAAAAAGGGAATAGTCCGTATTATACAAGTTTTCAGTATAGTGTCATCAGCAACGTCAGGAGGCAGCACCCTGCGAGTAAAGCTGCATGGAGAAGAAGAGGAGAGAGGGCGCCACAACTAAGTGCGGTATTAGAAGGTTGTTTTATTGAGACAGGTAACTCACTAGGTAACAGTAGAGAAAGGCATGCATCTCAGGATGGACATCGTCCTACAGAGGTCCCAGAGGCTGATGGAAAGGGTGGAATGACCTCTAGGAGCCAGGTCTCCCGGGTTCCACATGGTCACAGCCGCCAGACGCTAACAGCATGGAACCGGGAGACCTGGCTCCTAGAGGACATTCCACCCTCTCCATCAGCCTCCGGGACCTCTGTAGGACAACGTCCATCCTGAGATACTAGATAACAGTAGAGAAAGGCATGTATCTCAGGATGGACATCGTCTTGCAGAGGTCCCAGAGGCTGATGGAGAGGGTGGAATGTCCTCTAGGAGCCAGGTCTCCCGATTCCACGCGGTTAGCGTCCAGTGGCTGCGACAGCATGGAACCGGGAGACCTGGCTCCCAGAGGACATTCCACCCTCTCAATCAGCCTCCGGGACCTCTGTAGGATGACGTCCTTTCTGAAGATACATACCTTTCTCTATTGTTATCTAGTATCTCAGAAAGGACGTCATCCTAAACAGGTCTCGGAGGCTGATGGAGAGGGTGGAATGTCCTCTAGGAGCCAAGCCAAGCTGTCACAGCCGCTGGATGCCATCAGCGTGGAACTGGGAGACCTGGCTCCCCAAGCAGCCCTGGCTCCTAGAGGACATTCCGGTCTCCGGTTCCACGCTGTTAGCGTCCAGCGGCAGTGACAGCGTGGAACCGGGAGACCTAGCTCCCAAATGACATTCCACCCTCTCCATCAGCCTCTGAGACCTCTGTAGGACGACGTCCATCCTGAGATACATGCCTTTCTCTACTGTTATCTAGTATCTCAGGATGGACATCATCCTACAGAGGTCCCGGAGGCTGATGGAGAGGGTGGAATCTCCTCTGGGAGCCAGGTCTCCCGGTTCCAAGCTGTCACAGCCACTGGACGCTAACCGCGTGTAACCGGGAGACCTGGCTCCCAGAGGACATTCCACCCTCTCCATCAGCCTCCGAGACCTCTGTAGGACGACGTCCATCCTGAGATACATGCCTTTCTCTATGGTTATCTAGAGAATTACCCAAGTCACCTTGCTCAATAAAAACAACCTTCTAATACTGCACTTAAGTCCACCCCCATTTTTTGCTGCCGACCGTTTCCAAAACCGAAGATACAGAGATCAGCCACATCCTGCACAGCAATGGGGCACCTAACTGGAGCACCTCCTGTATCTTGGAATGGTTCCTAACGGATCAATCTATGGCGGCTCGCTTGAAAAGTCACGAGGAAAAGAAAACAAGTTGCCTTTGGCAGCCAATCAAAATGTTGTTATGACCTGGATATTTAAAACTAAGAATTTGATGGATGAACAACTTCCACATTTTATTTCCTTCTATGAGAACACCGAAAGCATCCAGTTTATTCAAAAGAAAAACGATCTTTTAGGTCCAATTTTGGCGACTTTAATGGTGTCTATTTGGGTATTTCTCTCCACGCTGTTGGAAAACGGTTGGTACAGAGGGACAGGTGACCCAGGCTCAGGGGCAGCAGCAAGACTTGTGGGATGGTAGTTCGATTCAACCGCCGAGTCTCCCGTTCATTAGGCGCTCATCACGACAAGCTAATTACACAACAAAGATCATGTTCTGTGAAGCCAGCCTGCAAATCGCTCTCAGGAGAGAGAGGAGTTCTGCATCGCTGAGTCGCTTTGAAACGTATCAGGCAGCGAGCTCAGCCCAGGCCGAATTATCAGCTCACTGAATCCAGGAGGCAGAAGGCAACAGGCAAAAGGCACAGCCATCCACAGAAAACCAGACCGTGCTGTGGCCGCCTCGAATTGACGGAAGGTTACATCTGATTGGTTGCTTTTGGATACGACGCATCATGGCGGTCAAGTGGTTAGCTTGCTCGCCTTGCAGTTCTGGGATTTGAACCCACGACGGGTGCCATCTGCATGCTTTTGCAACATCTAAGTGGGTTCATCCCAGGGGAGGACTGACCATTCGGGAACTCGGGCACTGCACAAGAGCCCCATGAGATGCCCCTGGTACCTTTCACAGGCTTTTTTGGGTGTAGGCAAGGACACAGGGGTCCCATGATCCCCTATTGCCTGGGGGCCCCATGAATTGTGTTAGTCCACCCCTGATTTATCCACACACACTAGCATCTAAGTGGGTTAATCCCAGGGCGGACTGACCATTCGAGAACTCTGGTACTGGGTCAGTAGGGGGCCCCATGTGATGCCCCTGGTACCTTTTATAGGCTTTTTTGGGTGTGGTTTGAGCGGGGGCAAAGACACAGGGGCCCCATGATCCCCCTTGAGTTGTTAGTCCTCCCCTGGTTTATCCCACACATTAGTGATTTAACCGACCACCACCCAAAACTGGCCCCATTGTATGTGAGTGACCAAGATGAGGGCCTAGCCATGCAAGCTCCTCTGGGGTGGAAGTGGAGAGGAGTAGCCATGCATAAAAATTGAGCTTTGCAGAACATCATACTTAGGTATGTATAGTAGGATGCATAACTTACAATGAAGATTTTCAAACTGCAGTTGGATTGGACAGGAGGCAGAAATCGCTTTGTGAGCCCTAACGCTCAAACCAAACCTAAAACACGTTCCAGAACTAGCATTTGGCCCTTGACTTAGGCAACTGTGACAGAAGCCAGGTTCTATCTGCTCATAGCATTCAGCCCCTCACAACTAAACATGGCTTCCATGTTCTTTTCACCTGCCGAAAAAGACCTGTTGGGGTGGCCCTTGCATGGCAGAAGCAGCACTGGAAGGTGGCCATTGCACAATGCAGGCCAATGTTGGATGGTCATAAGAGCCAACTGTCCTTTTTAATTAAGCCTTCACCAAATTTAATTCGAATGACAAGAGGCAACTAAGATATCACAGAATACATTGCCAAGCACGGGGCTTCTCTGCTCTCAGATGTATAAAGTTTGCCAGAGTTCCCCGACCACTTTTATTAAATTCATTGCACATTGTTTTGTTGCCATCTAGCAATGTCTTCCCGTTCTCCATCATTATTCAGCAAATGAGATTTCTTTGATAAAAAGAACTTGTACTGAACAAAGCAGGAACTCATCTTTCCTGAAATCGTGAAATGGACAACACGCAACATCTAAAATAAAAGCTACACGCAGCTAAAATGGGATTCACATATGACCCTGCCCATGAGCTTCCAAGTTACCCCAAGGTAGAGCCCTCAGGGGCGGGTCATTAGTAGCACAAAGTCCAAAATATCAATGAATAGTGTGTTAAAAAAAAAAAAAAAAAACCTTTTCTAAAACTTTATCTTGGGCAAACCACAGCAATCTCTGAAATTTTAAAGTCTATGATGTGTTAAACGTATTCCAAATCACGAAAAAAAGATCCATTTGAAGGGGGGGGGGGGGGGGGGGGGGAGAACGCTGGC